TCATATATTCCTTTTTAATAAACTCTTCTGTAGAGTATATTAATACAACTACTACTTCTAGAATAATAATGTTCTCCACTTATTGTAGGCTATTTCTAGAAGAAAATATAGTAAGTAGACAAGCAGATAAGTCTATTTACATAGAAGACCAATTTTGAGAAGTTAGTTTTCAGAGATATTAGTTTTTTTTAGAGGTAGTCTGTCTAGTTTGGGATATATTTATTAAGATTTTGAGTAGAAGTAGATATGATAGTTTTTGTAAGTATTTGAGAAATAAATTGAGTATTTCATTTTTAATAAGTGTAAGAAGGTTGTTTATTGGTAAAAAGTTATTAAAACAGGTATTTTCTTTAGTATAAGATGATGTATTGGTGACTGAAGAGAAGAGTGAATCTTCTGTAGAATTATTTGCTATATAACTAGTTTTTATAGTTATGCAAGTATTCAAAACCTGTTCTGTAAATTAGGTCTGGCTATTATAAAATTGGTCTTCTATGTAAATAGACTTATCTGCTTGTCTACTTACTATATTTTCTTCTAGAAATAGCCTACAATAAGTGGAGAACATTATTATTCTAGAAGTAGTAGTTGTATTAATATACTCTACAGAAGAGTTTATTAAAAAGGAATATATGAAATTGTTGTATAAATATTTGAATTGAGTTTTTCAGCATAAGTTTGTTTAGTGTTTTTTGTTTTTAGTTAGAGATGAGGATAGTATATTGAATATGATATCCTCATTGATAGTAGTAGTATTAGATGTTGAATTTTTCAAAGATAATTTATTCTACCTAAAAATAGAATTTATCTCTATACTCAGAGAAATTTGTATGATAAAGAGTTTTGGTTGTTGAAATAAGTAAAGGTATATTAGAATTCTAATAAGATGATGTGTGTCTGTAGGTTTGGAAGTAATTTTTTGGATTATTTGATGATAGTTGAGAGTAGAAATTCTTTTATTTATAGCTGCTACTGTAAAGAAGGCTTTAAGGTAGGTGTAAAAATAGTAAGTACATCTTTTGACACTAGTTGCTATATTGTTTTGTTTAATGAATTCTTGTTCAGCTAAGTTGGCTAGTTTATGGAATAGAGTAATTGATGTAGCAATTTGAAAAAACACTTCAATTGGTTAGTCTTTTTGGAATTGTTTGCAATTAAGTTCAGGATATATCTATCTAATTCTTTCCTTAAGAGGGTCAGAAGATAGAGTTGCTAGAAATTTAGTAAAGAATTAGTCAAAAAATTAAGTTGAAATATTCTTGAAATTATATTCTGTTTCAGTAGATAAAATGTTGCAGCCTGTGCCAGTACAGGTATAAATATGGAAAAGAGTAGCTTTGGTAAATAGAACTATATGTTCATAGAGAGATATAATTAAAGTTATTTTGAAGTCTTTTGGAAGAAGTTTTTTGTAAACATTGGCAAGATTAAGTATGATTTCATATTTGATGTGATTGTAAGTTTTGGTTTAATCTATTGTTAGAAATTGACGTTTGTAAATTTTAAAAAATAGTTCAAACTATTTATTAAGATCCTCTTTATATTTTTTGAGTGATAGAATCCTAAAAGTTTCTGTAAATTCTTGTTTAGGAATATTAAGAGAGACATTAATATTGAATTTGTTATTATATTGAATTTGAAAAAGAGGTTGATGAATTTTGTCTTCAAAAATAAAATAATATAATTAGAATCTTTTAGGTTTGATATTGAAATCTTCAAAGAATTTATTAGCATGAATAGTTTTATAATTATTATAAAGAAAGAGATAGATTCTAGCAAGATTAATAGCAAATAAGTTATGGTTTTGAATAGTATAAGGAGAGATTGTATTGAAGGATAATAGAATTTTTTGGTAGTTAAATTTGGTGAAAAGGATTGTTATAAATTTAGATAAGAGAGATTTGAAGGTTGAGTAAATAATATCAAAAGAGATTGTAGTAGCTTTATCAATTTTTGAATTTGTATTAAAAATGAAATCAGTAAAAAAGTCAGGATGTTGACCTGCCATTAACTTAATAAGGTATTTAAAGTTGCTTTTAGAGGCAAGAGTATTTCCTAATACTGGTTTTAGAATTTTCCTGGTGTGAAGTTGATGAGATTTGGCTTTAAGAATTTAATTGAGACCTGTATATTAAGTTGAGTATGTTGTTCTATTTCCTCAGTTATAGGAAAGATTTTAAACTAATTGAGATCATTTGAAGTATCTCTTTTGAGTAAAGGTTTTTTGGTGAGTTTGAGAAGAATGGATTCAAATAGTACTTTTTTTTAGTTAACAGGCATGAGACTAAATTTGATAAAATAGAAAGTGTTTTGTTGAGTTAGTGTTAAAGGTTTGAATTGAGAAAGAGATTTAATTCTAATATTGTTAATATATTCAAAGTGAACTAGGAAATCTTTAAGAATAAATTCAGATTGAAAAGAGTGTTTTTTATTTAAGAGAAAGATACAAGAGATATTTTTTTTGTAGCAAACTAAGCATGTATGAATATGATAAGAGTAAGTAGTAATTAGAATTTGTTGGTCAAGAGAATTTAAGTTTGTAAAAGATGTTATAGTATTTTTGATATTATAATTGAATAAAAAATGAGGTAATAATATTGGGTTTTGTTTAATTAGTTATTTAGGAATTTGTTCTTGAAGATTTTGAAATTGTTTTGGTGTAATATCCATAGGTATAGGAGTATTAGGGTTTGGTGTAGAAGTGCTGGGTCTGAAGATTTCCAAAGTATAATATTTAGAGATAAACTATATATAGTATTTGTTGCAAAAATAGTTGATTAGAGAAGGTTAAGCTGGTATATTGAAGTAGTAAAGTTGTTTAGCAGGTACATATTGAGAAGAATTGAATACAAAGAGTATTAGTTTGATTTGTGCAAGATTTTATTTATATATAACTATAATATAGTATTTGATAAATTGTAAATATCTTTTGTTAGGATAAACTGAATTGATTTTAATAATAAATTTAAAATATCTTGTAAATCTAAGATTTAATTAATTGTAGTAACAGAATGCAAATTCTAAAGTATTGTTTTAAAAATAAGTATAGTAGTATAAAGATATATACTATATTCTAATTGTTCAAATATTCTATCATATATAGTACTTATTAACTTGCTAGTATCAGACTATATATATGACTTACAGATTTTTTTAAATATAATACTAAGTTTTTATCATGTACAATATTTATTAATTTACCAGTACTAGGCTATATAGGTAACTTACAGATCTTTTAAATATAAAATTCTAAATTTTTTTTAGTATACTTAATAATTATTTATATATTATTATCAAGCTAATTAAAAGACTTATAGCTATTCTAATTTTTGTTGTTTTTCAATAAGGTAAAATATCTAACTTTTAGTTATTTTTGTCTAGAAATAACAAACTACAAGATATTTTATATAATATCTAATTGCAAAAAGTAGAGATATTCTCACTATCAGCTTATTTTTGCTCAAAAATAACAAACTAAAAAACTATAACAAAAAAATAATAAATTGATAAGAGCTCTAGCTTTATTCAAATCTATCTTAGTTAATTATTAATACTAGGTCTAATTGAAAAATAAACTAAAATAAATATAATATAATGTCTAATAACTATATAACTAAAATAAATATAATATAATATCTAATAAATTATATAATTTTGCTAACTAATATATATAATACTAAATAATAATAATAATCAAATAATATTTAAATACAATAGCTTGAAAGTTTAAAAACCTAATTGATTGTATTAAAGACAAGTTTCTAATTGTTTAATAACCTGTTTAACAAGTTTATTCTGAGAACTTTTAGTTTTTACAAAATATAGCTTTGTAAATATTTTATCTAAATCCTTATATGATTGAGATAGAAAAGAATAAAAAAGAAATTTAATATCAACAAGAAGTAATAAAATTCTATTTAATCTTGAGTCACTAACTCTAAGATATAATAGTTTTCTAATTTGAAATAAGTATCTTTTAATCAGATTATTAGACAAATATTTTCTTTATCTTTTCTTTCTTTTATTTACTAAATTTATATTTTTATCAATATAGAAATCTTAAAAATTAAAATTAGCAATTTGTCTAAATTCTAATACAATTTCAGTTTCTTCAAGAATTTCCTAAGGATCTTGATTTAAAATATATTCTTCTATATTATAATATTGTGGAGATATAGATTATAAAACTTCTTGTTCAGTTGGCAACTCATCTTCTATAGGCAGACTATTAAATACAAGTAGTAGATCATTTTGATTAAAATCTTTATTAAACTATAGATTATAGTAGAGATCTTGCATTTTGTCAATATTATTCATTATAATTATTATAGATAAATATAATAATCTAAAAGAAATGAAATATTGAGTATGTATATAATAAGATAAAAATATTATATAGTGATGATGAAAAATGATTTTTGATCAAAATTTTGAGATTTTTCATTTATTTAAAATTTTGTTAAGCTAACAGAGTTTGTGTATTAAGTGAATATTGTTCAAGAGGTTTGTAAGATTCTAAAGACATTGAGATCTTGAAAATTGGATATCTGAGTGCTAAGTTATTGCTATCACAGCCTTATATTATATAACTTAAAGAGAAAAAAATTTTGTAAAGAGATGTTCTAAATCGCTAAAACTATTTTAAAATGCAAATTGCGGATTCCACAAGGTTTTTCTACTAAGATAAAGCTTAGCACCAAAAATGCACTAGGTATTTAAGATTATGTTGTAAAAATTTAAAGCTTATTAGATTATAATTAATAGACTTCTCTTAGTGAGAACGGAATGCAATTAATTTTTGAATTTCTGTGCTTTTCATGTATCAGCTGAGATTATTTTAGACAGCTGAAATTATTTTAGGCAACCAGAATTATTTTAGGCAGCCAAAATTATTTACGGTTTAGTCGCCTAAAATACTTTCAGCAATTTTTATTTACAGCAAGCCAAAAATAATTTAGGCACCCATGTATAGTTATATGTGCACATACTGTATATTTATTATGCCACTAAAATTAACAAATTCTGCAATATTTTTAGCAAAATACCAGTATATTTTTGTAGAAGTGCAATATCAGAAAGTTTTGTCGTAAGGGTAAATAATATCAATGAAATCTATATCGGGAATCTAATCTGAGAAATATCATATTGTGGTAAACCAAATTTTGTGGATCACTGCCGTAATTTAGTCCGACTTCAGTATTAAATTCGTGCGTTGAGAAGGTATGAACCAGTTCTGGTACGAAACTCGTCCAGAAGTTCTGGTCACACCTAGGTTCGTAGTCTAACAAATCAACTAACAAACAATACAAATCCAACAATCAACCCTAAGTTGGTAGGCTAAAAGAGGGCGTGGAGGATTTGGTCTGGGTTTTAGGATTGCAGGGTGGATTTCTTTAGGTAGGTGTCCTTTGGTTCTTGGGCTTTTATTCCAGGAATTTCGGTTATGGTCTTTTTAGGTCCTTTATACTTTTGAAATGGATTACGTGGCACATGATCTGGTCCTCCTTGTGATTGGTTATTGTTTTAACAATGGGAATCTATAAGACTAACTAAGGACGATTGTTATTGTTTAAATTGATTGGGAACTTGATTATCACGAGGCGGGGTTTTTGACAATGAATATATATTTTTAACAAATGAGGAAACAAGGTCACAATACTTCTACTCGAATTTCGAAGTATCAGACTTATAAACAACGAACTTATTGGAGTCTTAATAGAACTCTGTCAAAGTTATTTTTTATTTGAGGAAATTCAAGTCACTTATATACATAAATTTTAATAATATATGATAACAAAAATAAAAGAAATAAAAAATAATAGAAAAATATTTTGGATTCGAAGAATCCCAGTTGGAATCCTTAGGATTTGAAAAATCCTAAAAATTATGGTTCGGATCCTTAGGATTCTAATAATCCTGGAAATTACGGGCAGGATTTTTAGGATATTTTGAATTCGGATAATCCAAAATCAAGAAACAGGAAATATCTTGTAAAGCCCGAAGGTTAAACAAGAATGTCCGAAGCAGTGTAACCTCGGATTTGGTAATACTCCGGGGTTACCAAATATGACTTTTACAGCGTACGTACGTAATACATTTGTTTTTATTTAGCTGTGTAATTATTGTCGCAGCTGATGCTGAAATCGGCTGATGCTGAAATTTGGGGTCTCGATTTGAAACTATAAGCCCTGCTAAAATCCACTAGTAAATTTTTAAGTATAAAAGTATAAATATGGAAAATTTTAATTTAAAAAGTTTATACCAAAATATGAATAAAATAACTATTCAAAAAAAATTTTAAATTATTTAGGAACAACTAGTGGGATCGCAAAAGAAAGTACCAGTAACTACTGTACAATTGGTGCAGGTAAAATTACATGAACTACCACAATTAGCAGAACATGAGAAAGTAGGAGTTCCACAAGAACTAGAAGATAAAATTCCATTACAAGTACCATTTGCAATACCCGATGGAAAACTACAAGATGTAGTATTTGTACTACAAGTCCCACATGTCACGGAGCAAGGGAGAGTACCACTACAACCAGAAGTGATACGGCGAGTGAGATCACTGAGCGGATGCGCTACAATAATAGGCATAATAAAGGCCAAGAGAATCATAAAGATATTAAAAGCTTTAGAATTTATCTAAATAAAAAATAATTAATAACAATTTAGAGTGATGAATGTATTATTTTAAAAATTCATTATTTTATTAAATTACCATTGATTTATTTGGGTTCATTTTTGCCAATAATATCCAAAAAAGTTTTTAATATATTATTTTAGGCTAATAGTTTATGTATTAAATTTGTTAAATTTTAGTAAATAATTAATCCTTAATCAATAAAAAGATAGTTTAATCAGTACCTTTAATTGACACTCGACGAAGAATGATTAAACTGAATAGGCAAATATTGCATCTTTAAATAAAAAAAAAGAAAGTGAAGATCTGTTAGAAATGCGAAAAATATCTAAAAATATATCTTTTAAAAAATATATAAATGAGAGTTGAAACGATATGAAAGGAAAATATGGGGTGTGATCTATTAAAACAGCCCATTTTTACAATTTTTTAAAAATTTTTTTATTTGATTTTTGAATAGATATATATTCAATAAAAAACTTTGTTTTAAGTTACCAAAGCCAATTATATAATACAAAGTTTCATAAAATAAACTTTAAGTTAAAAATTTTATATGTATTACTATTTGTAAACCATTATTTAAAATCGATTTACTCAAAATT